CACTAATTTCTGTATGGAGAAAAAGACACATGAGATTTTTACCTAGATCTCTCAGGCCTGGGAGACCTGCTGAGAAGTAAATCCTATTCAGGTGATATTTAAGCAGCTGTCATCTGTTGCTTGGTTATTTGGATGATGTGATTATTCCAAAGCCTGTTTTCCTCTGGAGTATAAACCCATGTTGTAAGTCTTGTCAACTGGTATTTCATTGGAGCAACTGGTCTTTAGTCCTGGTAATAATCTGTGTTTCCCCCTCCTCCTAGTTCATGGAAACAAAAATGAGAGAGAAATTACATTGTTTAGCTTCTAGCCTGATTTTAACAATAACAATACCCTGCCCCAGCATCTGTGTTTTCTTTCATTTCTAACATAGGAGATTATTTCAGAGAGATACTAATTGCCTTAAGTGGAAGAACTTGACTAGATTAGGGCCACAAATGTGTCCATAATGTCCAAGGTCTTTCCTAAATCCTTTCTTCATGGAGGCAAGCATCTTCCTGTGTTGTCTGCACGTATGTGTCTTCTCCTCCCAGGAGTGAAATGGAGAGTCATAGGGTGGTGGTGTTTTAAATGAACACTACCTTGCTTTTGTCATCTTAGTACTTTGTTAGGTCTGTCTATGTGTTAAAAAGTACAACCTAACAAATATTTCAAATTTAAGCCATGGATAAAATTTTCCTCACAGAAAACCATGCAGTAAGCTGAGAAAGTGGAATAGAAAGCAGCATGTGTTGTTTTCTTCTTAGGGTTTTTTATAACTCGTGTTGGAGGAGAAGCTCTCCAGAACTTTACCAATGCCTCTATGCTGAGAATGCTCCTGAATCCTTGCCTCTTCCCCATCCTCTGCTATTCCGTTAGTCAGGCCACATTTTCTGCACCCTCAAGCAGTTAAAAGGAAAAGCTTCACTTGTGCCTTGAAATTCTGCGTGATTCACCTTCAGTGTGAATGTGATTGTCTTCCATTCTAAAGGAATTGAAAGGGAACTCAGGTTGAGCAGAAGTGCATTTATGAAGGGTCAAACAATCTGTTTCCCATCTCCAGACAAAACCTCATGCTGGATAAATAAGCACCTACAGATAGCCTGTTTTCTACAGTGTTTTGAAGAGGAGATCCCAGCCACTCTGGGATACTTGGAAGGAACTGACACCCCCCACCCTGCTTCCTCTGTCCCCTGCCTCTATGGAAACAAAGAACAGCAAGTGCTGAGGAAAGCACCGATTCCAGAGGCTGCTCCCCTGCCATCGCTCCTTCATCCAAATGTTCATGCATTGCATTGATGGTCAGCATTCCCTGCTGCCCTGTGGACCCCATGGGAGCTGGCGCTGGGTCTCACTTACTCATCAGTCTCAACACAGTACTTCCCCAGACTGGATCCTCACAACCATCTGTTTAAGGTGCATGTTTCTTCTCACCCCTCCCACCCTGCCCCCAGCTCACTTTCACCCTTGAGTGAGGCCTGTTCCCCACCCCTTTGTCCCATGTCATCTTAGATCTCTTGCAGCCTGATTCCCCAAAGCAGTGACAGCTTCTCCATTCCCCATGATCTTCACTTGTGTACTGTTCCCTCTTTGTCCCACATGCTTAGGCTGCCTCTGGGGAGCTCATCAGACCCTTGTGCTCTGAGAAGTGTCTCCTGCCTCATCCATAGCCCATCCTATCCCATCAAGTCCCTGACTGCTGTGCTCTCCACCAGTGTAATAACTCTCCAGTACTTGTTTTTCATTCCTCTGGGGTAAATTTCATTCCACAGTTCGGTTACAGTATCACATACAAACACATCCAAGGTATTTCTCTAGCTGTGTCCAGCACAGTGCTGAGCTCTGGGCTAAATTACATGGAAAAGTGGCTTGTGGCTCTCCAACATTGCTGTTGGCTCATCTGTCCACAAAAGACATACTGTATCCTCCCATGCACCTGCCTCATGAGCACTGGTGCCTTTTGTGTTTGCCCCTGTTGCACTGTGTTTGCATTGGGCACCTGCTGCTCTGTCCTTGTCTGTTTAATATATTTACTTACATTGACCTCCATCTCTCTAGTTTGCTCTCCTGTCCTCTGACCCACCTATGACTGCTGGTGTATTATAAATGCAGTGGTGAATAAGGAATAGATGGTTGGAGTAATGTGATGCCCAGTTTCAGATCTTGCCAGTTGTTTCCTTGATTCTTGACTCCTTGTTCTGACAGTCTTTGGGCTGCCCTTTCTGTCTAGAGAAGTCCCTAAACCAATAGTGGTAAACCTATAGCATGCATGTGATTTTTCTTTTAAGACAAGTATATGTTAATGTGTGAATTGTTTTTCTAAATGAAAACCTTGGTGTTCAGGTTTAATTGCAGTGTAGGTGTTTTGCAATAAACAAGTGGATTTGGGATTCCAGTTTAGGCACACCTCTAAAAGATTTGCCATCACTGCCCTAAACCCACCCATCTCTTCTCTGATGCCCAATCTTTAGTCTTTCACATCACTATTATCTATCCAAAATGTTAGATATGCTATGCTTTTGAGGAGGAGGAATGTGGCATAGGAGGAGCATTAATATTTAATGAAAATCTTCTGACTACCACAACTGAGTTCTGTTTTTGGTTACGTTTTACAATAGCTCTGAGAGTCTTTCCACTTCATGCGTGGAAAAACTAAAGCCTAGAAAGAATTAAGTAGGTTGGCCAAGGCTGAGTAAGAAGTTGCAGAGGAGAATTTGAGATCCATTTATTTCTGATCACAAGGCTTGAGGTTTGTCTTTCAAATCCCAGTTGAAAGGTGCCATTAAAAGGGAGATTACTTAGGAGCACTCTACAATGAAGGGCAGTATATGAGTACATTCACTCATGAGGAAGGACAAATGTAAGGGAAAGATACTTACTTGGAGATTTGAGTCTAAGCAGAGATGGGCAGAGGTAAGCCAGGGTTGGTGGCACATGCCTGTAATCCTAGCACTCTGGAGGGCTCTGGCAGGAGGCTTGCAAGTTTGAGTCCAGTATGAGTAGCTGATTCAGCAAGACTTTGTCTCAAAGAAAGGGCTGGGGATGAAGCTCAGTGTGAAGACTGTGAATTCAAACTACAGGATCACTAAAAACAAACACTTAAAAGTCTACAAAGTTTCCAGAGTTGTTGTGCACCTAAGAGGTCTTCTGGTGGCCACCTGTTACAGGGTACATTGACCCATGGCTTCTTGACAGAGGGAGCAGGAATGCCATTAGATTCCCTGGCTGGGCTGTACTCATTGCTCTTGTCCAATGTAGAAACAGTGACTTGGCCTTGGTTCTGCCCTTAGGTTAGAGCCTCCAAGCACTGCAGTGGAAGCCACAGACTCATCAGGAGGAAGAAGTCTGCAGGACACTTGTCACTGACTCATACAGCTTTTTCCATGAGCCTTCTGTGCAAGATAGCTGAGTGTGGGTATAGTGTTCACCAGGTTCCCTAGGGGAGTGGCAAAGAAGACTTACGGCACACACTCCATACTTAAGTCTCATCATTTTTAAGGAGTAGGTTCCATGTGCAGGCCTTTCTGGGAGCTTCAGTGGAAGCTTTCCCAAAGACTAGAAGCTTCTAGACAGCAACAGACTGCAGTTCCCTACAAGCTGACAGAAACCTCATTGCTGTTGAAAAGTGAAAGAATTTGATCCCTTTCCTGATTTTTGTGATCAGATAGTTTTGGGAACATGCTATTATTTTGTAATAGTGTGTTAACACTACCAAGTCCCACATGACTTAATAGCTCCACATTGGTTTGCATTTCCTATTTACCCTGATGTGGACTGTACATACTTGCCAAATTATTTTGTAAGATTTAATTTTCCTATGGTAAGACATTAGTAAATAAAAGTATAGCTTTTGCTTTCTGTTTTGTTTTTCAATTTGACAGTACCCTTGTGGATTTTAACCGAAGTTCTCAAGAACCTCTTCAGCATACTACATTTCTGTTTGAATGTTATCTCAGTGGCTTGAGTTTTCTGGGCACCAAGGAATGTGTTAAGTAGTATTTGCTTTAAAGGTTATACCTGTCAACCATAGCTCATCCTCTTCACCAATCTGTTTCGGCCCACATTCCTGGACCCTACCATCCCCACCGGCTGGTAGTGGGCATGCTCTGTGGGGTCCCAGAAGCATTTTAATCATTAGCTTAGCGATTACAGTAGGTGGTAACATGACAGGACTGAGAGTTCTTCATTAGACAGCTGAGTCACTCAGCTTCTGGTTGGGTAAAACGGCAGTTTCCTGAGCTTTAAGACCTTTATGAGGTGCCCTCTTTGGAGCTACTGTGCAGGCACTCCCAGTTGCTATAAAATGGAGTTGCTATGGTAGTCACATCACAAAGATGACCAAAGTGTTGACTTGAACGATCTGCTTTGAGAAATAAGATCTCAACATACTGGCTTCCTTTCTTGTGATGTGGTGAAAGATGCATTCCCGCTTTAAAGTTAGACTGCGTAGGAGAGAGTGTAATGTGGTTTCAGTTCCAAATTGCCCTCCACCTGATTCCCAAGCAGCTGAGAAAGATGGTGCTTGCAGGGGGGAGCTACCCTCTGGGGGCCTTCTGCAGTCCATACTGCTAAAATAGGAAGCTACAAAATCAGTTTTGAAAACAGAAACCTCCTCTTATCATCTGTGTAGGCTGCTTTCATGTGTTTCTGCTGTGATTGAATCTATAAGTTTTATACCAGACTTTTTATTTCCTAAGATGTCTTACCTAGATCTTGCCAGTAGGCTAATCTCATGGCCTTGTGTGTCAGTGGGAAGTTTCCTTAGCAACGGCTGTACTTTGCATTCTCTCTGGTGCAGACTGAACACAGGCACAAGGAGACAAATGTTGCCCATTATACAGGAACTTTCCCAACTTAAGTATCTTAGGCAGGAAGAAGAAGATGCCTAAGATTTGTCGTTTTAAAAAGTGCATTGGTTGATGACACTGGTAGATAATAACATGCTGAAGAAAAACCACTGACTTCTACTTCTGCTAGGATGGAAGATGTCCCAGAGGCTCATGCTATCATTTAAATTCCAGGTGCTGCTTTTCTGAACAGATAGCTCCAGAGGATTTCTGCAGCCAGAAAACCACTGCCAACAGATTGCATTTACACCCATGCTATGTAAGTAGAGGCTTGTGCTCACAACTACCCTCAAAGGAGTTTTGTTATATTTTGTTCCTGAATGATACTCCAATACAGTTTTTAAAATGATCATCTCTGTTTAATCTCTCCTCCTCTTAAACTTCCAACTCTCCAGTTTACCACCAGTGAAAATCTACAACTATTTAAAAGCAGACTCCTATTTAAAAGCAGTGGTAAAAGTCCTACATGCAGTCTTAGAATGAGGAGAGACACAGGAGAAAATGGAAAAGGTTCTCATTTCAGGAGGTGGAGGTGACATTGGGATACTCAGAGGCGTCTCTGAAATTTTGGTCAGACACCGCAGCAGTCAGCTACCCTGGCTGGCATAGGTATAGACTAGGGAGACCCTTCCACTTGAAAGTTGTAGCAGACCTTTTATCATGCACAGAAGGAAAAAGTAATGTATTATTTTTGTTGTCTTGCTACCATGTACTGATTGTTTAATGCTGTTGTTGTATTTACTTGGTTTGATGCTCATAGCAACCTTTACTGTAATCTTCACTTTACAGATGAGGCTGAGGCACAGAAAGGTAGTACTTACCCAGGGTTGTTCAAGGAGCTTTGGCTCCAGAAGTCTGCCTTGTCCCTCTCTCACCGGAAGTCTGCCTCACTTGATCTTAGCCAAAAAGCCAAGAAGTGATTCAGAAGTCTGCCTCATAGAAATGGGAAACTTAGGAGGATAAACTGCGAGGCTAGGTCTTAGAGACTGTATTTCAGCACCTTGCATGATTTGTGGGAACAGTCATAATGCTCTTTGGACTTTACTTTCTTTGATTAGTGGAGAAACAAGGCTTTAGAGAAGATGGAAGTGGTTAAGATCATAATGCAAGTAAGAAATACAGCTGAGTGTCTCAGGTTTCTGACCATTCAGTGTGAGCCAGATGGCACAGATTTCCAAGTTTTCTCCTCTTCTTGGTATCTCTTTGGGTTCTACTTCTACTAATTAGCACCAGTACTGGTATTAATGGTTTGCTTAAATGCTTATTGGTGAAATAACCAATCTCTCAGTGCTGATTGTGGCCACGTGAAGATGAGCTGTTTTATAAGGTACCTGGCAGCAGAGAGTGGTGGCTATGAGCCTGAGCCCAGTTGGGATCAGTTAGGCCAGGGTTTGAGCTGTAGTCCTGCCACTTAGGAGCTGCGAGACAAAGAGTAAAACACATGTTCTATCTCCCTCATCTCCCATCTGGATACACCAGCCTTGTTTAGGTAGTTGTGAATGTTGAGAAAATGTACTCAAACCACATAGCACAGCATGTTTTCACAGAACAAGGATTCCAAAAATGGAAGCTATGATCATTTTTCAGAGTGCCTTTCCCATCTACTTCTCACTCACTTTGGCCTTCACTCTGAGAATACACTTGAGTTTGGACCTATCCAGTAGAATCCTAAAGCTTGTGTCATGCTTTAAAAATCACCAACTGTTTCATATATTGCACTATGCACAGTCCTGCCAACCACTGCAGTATAGGGGCTTTGTACCTCCATTCCCAACATTTGGACACAAAGGATCAAAGAAATTAAGTGATTACTTCAGGATCTTATAGCTTGTAAGCAGCACAGCCAGATGTTCCTGTTTGCTGAAGGCATCTAGGTAGGCAGGTCACATGTTTGTGGCATAGCAGTGACAGTTGCATGTTAGTCTGACCTGAATACTCAAATTAGGACTGTTGTGTCCCAGTGTCCTTCACATTTTGAAACTGTGTTTTAAGAGGTGTCAGAAGTAGACACAGCTCTCTGTGAAGTCCCAAGCCCTCAGGGAAGTAACCTTAATCCAGTTTGCTCTTACAGAATGGGCAGGCCTTTCACATCAAGGAAGATGACACAGGTCCACTGTTGGGCTTTGCCACCTGGGAGTCCTGCTGTGGATTATTGAATCACATCCCAGCTTCAGCCCATTCTCAGATTTGGAAGAAAAAGTACTAAGAAGGGCAGCTTGCTGAAAAATAGGCAAATATAGACTGTGTTTTGAAATGGAGACATAGTCTTGTGGTTGTGGGCCAAGAGATTGTAAGGAGGATTCTCTTCTTGGAAGATGATTAATGTTGGGGATGGAGAGTCTACAAATTTTGCAATGTATTCTATGTAAGAAAGTTTTTCCTCCTTTCAAGTGTTGCAATATCTTAAAGTTGTCGCTGGTTAAAAATAGGAACATCCTGAATTACAAAAATTCAGTCTTACTGTGTCCTGGCCTGAAAGTTGATTGTTGGAAATTAGAGAATGGAGAGGAATGGAAGCTACTCATGTTTATTGAATCAGGTACTCCTTCCCAACAGGGCTATCCTTTCAGTGCTGAGACTCAGCAAGTAATGCCATAGCTCTTAATGTCACTCTGTTCTCCTATATATGTCCTAGAATGGATGAGTTTCTGTTAATTTATCAGTTGGTTTTTCCATTTCCCCTCTAGAGAACAGCATGGATTTTTTTTAACTTGGTCTCCTGTGCAGACCTGTTATTAGGAAGCAGGGCCCCAAACCAAAGATCCTCCATCTCAGGGTGTCTAAGTAACTTTATAGCTGCTTAACTCAGCATCCCAAGTCATCCCCAAGGACTTGAAAAATGTAGAAAAGCATACTAAATGATGTTTGTACTAATGGTTTACTGAAAATTCCTTGTCAAACTGGATTAATACAATGGAGATGCAAAAGAATATAATTGTTGTTGCTCTGATGAATTTTAAGGAGCATACAGAGGCAATCAAAATATATGATGAATTTTTAAATTTTTAAAATTACTACAGAAAAAGACAGACACATTGTCATTAATCCTCTTCAGAATTTGTCCCCTCCTTCCAGTACACTTACCACATCATTTTTCCACTTTAAAACCGTAATGTTGTCAGGAGCCCGCCTTGCTGCAGTTGGCAGCACAGTTCACAGTATTTTACATCATAATTCATAAAAACATGCATGACAGAGACTTCAGAAAGTGGTAAGTTGGAAAAATGGTAAGTGGAAAGTGGTGCATGTTAAAGGTGAGGAGCGGACTAACAGTGGTATACTTTACTGTATTGATGTTAAAAAATTAATATTCACCGTATTGATGTTGGTTAATACTTAGAAATAAGTTAGAAAATTGTGTCTGCCCCATTGAAGCAATTTAGCAAGACCCTGTCTTAAAATTAATAAAATGGGCTGAGGATGTTGCTCAGTATGAATACTCTGGGTTCAATCCTCAGTACCACTACCACCAATAATAACAACAGTAGTATTAATATTTAGATGCCACTGAAAATTCTATTCTGGAAAAAAAACATTATCATCTGTGTCTGTCTTTGCACTCTGATCCAGTCCACTGTCTTCCTTGTATCCCCAAATCACAGTAAACCTTTGAATCAAAGAAAACCACCTCAAAGTAAAAGTTCTGGGTTTAGAAAAATGTTTCCTTCAGCTTCAGCTGGGGACCAGGCTGAGTGTGTGCTGTTTGCATGACCTCTCCAAGGTTCTTCAGCATTGCTTTGCAGTTACCCCACACCTCCCTGGTTCTCTTGACTCCAGGATGAGCTCTGGTTCTCCTGTGGCGCTTTACTAGGAAAGACAGTAAAGACAGTAAAAAGTCTTCCTTGACTTCCCACCTGAAGGTGAGAGACAAGTGATAAAACCAAACTTCGAGCAGCTCAAGAACAGAGTTGCAGGCTTCCCCCTCCCACCCACCCCAACACCAGAGCAAATGGCCTTGGGATATGAACTGGTAATGTTTGATAAAGCTCTGCTTAGACCACTCTGTGAACAGCGTGTGGAGCCAGGTTGCAGCCTTTTCCTTTCTAGGTGGTACTGAGTTTATAAAAAGAACTTCTTAAAGAGAAAACAGATCATAAAGCTTCTTCAGGAAGCTGGTTTCATATGGTGGTTTAGATTTAAATAGTGATTGTCTAGCACCATTTGAAATCAGTGTTCTTGGGGGAGACCACCTGCGCTGCCAAGGGGGAGATAATGAATGAAGAATTTAAAAGCAAAATTTAAAACAGCTGGGACAACCTGCCTTATGGTGTAGCTGACCAACCCCTTGCATTGTGTATAAAAAGTGAATTATGCAGTGCCTCCTTATTAGAATTGTATACAATACTTGTTTGTCTACTAAACCTGTAGCACTTACCCGTACGTTAAAAGGACAAATGTACGACAAACATACTCAGTTTTGACCCTTTCTGACCCTCAACGACCTCCTGTGACCCCTTAGAGGATGACTGATTTCTTTTGGTGTTCAGAGTCAATATAATTTTCTAGCACCATCTGAAATCGGTTATAATGATTGGGGAAGAGCATCATGCAGCCAACTGGTGAAAAAAAATGCATATTAATGATCTTAGGATCACAACAAGTAAGAATTAAGAAAAAAGAAACGCAAAACAAAAATCCTATGGTGGTTTTTCTTCTTTTTATGTTTAAATTGAGTTGCACTCCCCTGAATTACATGTGTTGTAATAAAACAGTGATTAACTATTAGTGTATTTCTGTGGTTAATATTTCAGATGAATTGCAAAGAATTTGTGGAGACTTTTGTTCTGGTGACAGGTACCTAAGAAGAAAATCAGGCAAAGCTGAGGACCACTGAGAGGATGTGAAGGGAGCAGTGAGGGAGGAGGGTCTGTTTGCTTGGAGAAATTCATTGTCAACTCAGCTGAGGGCGCTCCCCTCACCTAGCTTGCCACAGAGCCCATTCTGTGGTTAGATACCCAGGCTCAAGTGGACTTGGAAGTGAAATCCAACAAAACATGGAAGGACAAATGGCACAAAAAACTGGATTGTAGAGTTTAGGATAGAACTCAGTTGCTAGGGTTCAGTTTGGTTCAGAAAGCAGGAGTTGCTACTTGCACTATTATCCTAAATTTCCCCATCTTATTAGAGATGAAGTCCTTAGGTGGTGTTAGCACTTGTGTCTAGATGTCCACCCAGAACCTTATGCAGTCATAGATGGAGCTTTGTGGAGGAGGTAGCTGGATCCAGAGTGTGTGATGCTGGGATTACGGATATGATGCTGATGTGATTTGATGCTGGGGATTAAGCGTACCACATTCTAGGTGTGTGCGCTACCCATCACATACTCCTAAGGGTAACCTGGATAGAATAT